AAAAAAAAAAAAAAAAAAAAAAAAAAAAAAAAAAAAAAAGGTTTGCTCCTGAACAGACAGGTTCAGTTGCCAGGAGTGTTCAAGTGAAGTATGCAATGGGCTGTATTTCCACTTCAAATCATTGTCCTAGTCTGTCCAGCTACCCATCTGCCTCTGCCTCACAGTGTTCTTTACAAAGACACTATTTAATAATGTGTTTAAAGCTTTTTCTCTCAATTAATATGCCTGAAAATGACAACCTTTTTTATTCGGTTCTACAGCAGTACTAGTTCACTTCAATTTAAGCTACTCAACACAGTTTTAAAAATATATCCAGTTTTAAAATGTATCAATAAATATGTTGAGCCCACAACAAAAGTATGTCTTTGCTGGAAGTGCAGTTGTAATGATAGTTTTTGTAGTTGAGCTGTTCTTTTGCTGGAAAATTTGATTTGGGCTATATTATAAATGTTAGAAAAAATTAAAGCATAATGCAAAATTTGTGGAGTCCTAGAAGTCAGTGTGGTATAATCTAGTCAAATGCTTTTTATTATTTAGTAAATTAAGCTGAAAAACAAGAATGGTTCAATACAATATACTGTGTTTATATTTAATTTGAGGAGTGACTCTCCTTGCTCCTGTTCTAGCCAGATGTTCTCAGTATCCACTGAAATTGTCTCTAGAACCCTAGGGGACTACCAAGAGCCAAAGGTCCTCAGGTTCCTCATATAAAAAATGGAATGGTATTTGACTGTATCTTAGGGGTGTATTGTGTGAGTGTGTGTGTGTGTGTGTGTGTGTGTGTATGTGTGTGTGTGTAATACTTAGAATTATGAACACCCCACTGTGTACTTTGAATCCTAGAATCCTATCTAGATTACTTATACCAGCTAATGCTATGCAAGCCATTGTAGTTCTGTGTTAGGAAAATAAGGACAAGAAAAATGCCTGTGCATGTTCAATATAGATGCAATGTTTTGCTTCCCTAATAGTCTCAATCTGTGAATGCAGAATCCAAAGATGCAGAGATCATCTATAATAAAAAAGGGTATTTACTATAATGAACTTCAAAATATGGTTTCCTGTGAGCTTAATTGAAATGTGTTAAATTAAAAAAAAAAAAAGTGATGGGTTGGAGAACTGGCTCAGTGGTTAAGAGGCCCCAGGTTTGACTCCTAGCACTCATATGGTAGCTCACAGTCATCTATAATTTTAGTTCTTGGGGATCCTTTTCTAGACTCCACAGACACTTCATGCTCATGGTGCACAGATATACATGCAGGCAAAATGCTCACACACATAAAATAATGAAACAATTTAAAAAACTGTTATCACTGGATTTTTTTTTTTTAACTTAGAAGATACACCTGGAGCTGCCTCACCTAAGGGGGACTCCTGGTGGGACCAGGAAAGTGATTGGTCATGTTGATGCGTACCCATAACCTTTTACATTCACAGGGCTTTGTAACAGGTGGAAAAGATGGGATTGTGGAACTCTGGGATGACATGTTTGAAAGATGCCTGAAGACCTATGCCATCAAAAGGGCTGCACTGTCAACTAGCTCTAAAGGTACCGCCCTGAATACCCAACTGGAAACATTCTGTTCACGGGAATTGGGCAGTGGTGCCAACTTCTTGTAGGAGTGGTTCTTAGCCAATCAGATTTCTTTTATCCCATCAGAATCTCAGTCCCTGGCAAGCATATCAAAGATGATTGCCTAATAACTAGCTAGAGCTAGCACTTTGGAAATAGAAAACACTGTGCTAACCCACCTTCGTGGTGCTTACTAAATTCGACCGTTTTCCCCTCTCAGGCCTGCTTTTGGAGGATAACCCTTCAATTCGTGCCATCACTCTGGGCCATGGACACATTCTTGTGGGGACAAAAAATGGAGAGATTCTGGAAATTGATAAGAGTGGCCCAATGACACTGCTTGTTCAGGTACCTCATCTGTACATGTTGCAAACCATGTTCATGTCAAGGCTGAGAATGGTGTGGGACAAGAGAGGCAAAGGGTACATGCGTCACAAAGAACTTTCTGGGGTGCTCCAGCCACAGACCAGCAACAACACTCATTCTAACCTCACCACCTGTGTGGGCTAGGAGTCTGAGTACAGCTGAACTGGTTCTTCCACATGTGTTGCTAAAGGCTGAGGCTTAGCAGAGTGGGGAGCTTCTTTGGGCTCTTATGCTAATCGCAGAATTTACTTCCTGTGGCTGTAGGACTGGTGTTTATTTTCTTGCTAACTGTTGCCCAGAGGCAACCCTCAGTCAAGTCACCTATCAGTCCAGAGTTTATTGGGATACATCCACTTGCTTTTTCCAGAGCAAGCAAGGAAAAAAAAAAAAAAAAAAAAGACACCACAATCTTATGCAACTTAATTATGTCACACGTTCCCTGGAACTTTCCATCACCTTTGCCACATTCCACTGGTTAGAATCAAGCCTCAGATCATGCCCCACTCAAGAGGAGATGATTATAGGCTTTGAAGATGAGCGGGCTTTGCAGGTATTGCCCCAGGAGCTTGTTTGTCTGTTGTACTTCTCCTCTGGCCACCAGTTACAGATATCCCAGCCACATATGAAACCCTTTTCTATAGTCTCAAGAGCCTAGTCCCTTGATAATACATGTTCAAGGTTCAGAATCTTATCATCCAAATCAGACCCAAGGGTGGATGATGAACCTTAGATATAGTTCCTTCTGATCTGTCGGTCCATAAAGCTGATGATAACAAAATTTTTAAAAACCTGATAATTTTGCTGTTCTCCACATACTTCTTTAGGCCCTGCTTCACACATATATTACGTTCTCCTAGACCCCCTTTTCCTCAGGATACATACTTATGTAGAATCAGATTTAAACAGCATGGAAATGTCTGTGGGCAGGAGTCTTGCCTGTTCTATCATCACACTGACTTTGCAGGTGAAGAGGCATAGTGAGCCATGAGAAGCTAAAATGAAGAAACGTGCTCATTGTGGTTTCTATTGCTATTAATTACAAGTTAAACATGAAAAGAAAACCCTGCCAGTCAACAAATGGGCTAATAAACAGATGGTTTTCAATAGAAGAAACACAAATAGACAATAAGTATTCTTAAAAATGTTGAACACCCTTAGCCATCAGAGAAATATAAATTAAATGACTTTGAGATTCCATCTCAAATGCCACCATTAAAAAACAAAAAGGAGGAACCCTTATTTACTGCTTCTGGGAGTGTAAACCAGTTTAGTCATTTAGGACAGAAGTATGAAGGGTTCTCAAAAACTGACAAGTAGAACTTCCGTATAACCCAGCTATAAACCCAGCTATACTCCCAAGAACGGTACCCTCCCATAGAGACACCTGCACAATCCTGTTTCATCCTGCTCTTTTTCACAAGAGCAAAGAAATGGAAGCCCCTGAGACTAGTGGATGAGTGGTTAAAGAAAATGTTACTTACTCAAAATTTTATTCAACTGTAAAAAAAATCTAACAAATGAAATTTGCAGGAAAATGAATAAAACTGGAAAGGATAATGAATGAGGTAAACTGGACTCAGAAAAACAAAAATTGTATATTCTCTGTCACGTACAGATCCCAGCATATGCGTGTGTGTGTGTGTGTGTGTGTGTGTGTGTGTGTGTGTCACCCATGGACACTGGCAGTGACCTGTGAAACACGTAAGCCAATCTGTCCCTTTCTGGGGTGGGGGTGGGGGGTCCCTGCAAGTGCTACGGCCCACAGAAAAACGATCTGTGAGAGGCAACAAGGAAGTCTATTTTGACCCTTGGTAAGCTGGGCTGGTTCAAACTTCTAGAGTCTGACCATAAGCGGTTTATTTTTGACATATTTAAGCACAGTACCACTTTGGAAAAAAGCTTCCTTGTGACAGTTATCATAACAAAGGCAAAACTCCTTTGCTAAGTACCTGTGGTTTCTTCTGTAGGAATGGGTTGGGAGAAAGGATTTATGATAAGCATAATAGTGGATTCTTTTGCATAGTACATGGGATCTCTTTCAAAAGAATGGGTTCTCTCGATTAAGAAACAGTGCTCAGGAGTCCGGGGGATTTGGGTGAATCCTGGCTCTATAGAATAGGAGGTTATTAGCTACATCCTCTCCCAGCCTTCTGGGTGGAAAACGGGTGTAAATCCCTTTTGTTGAAGGACAAGCCCATGAGCTGAACATTCCTGCTCTCTCCAGTGCTCATCTGTGAGCCTGAGGACCTCACACCCTCCAGACCTTTCCTTCTGGGCACCTCCTGTTCCCCTCTCACTTGTTGTTCCTCCCTGGTAAACTCAGTGTGGGTTCAGTTAACCCTTGAGGTTCCTGAGAAGGTCTTCCCTATGCTTTGTGGTAGGTATCATGGAATAAGGGCTGACTGCTCCCTTAGGACCCATAGCCACGTGTTGAGGGAAAGCTGAGGCTGGGAGAATGTTCAGGAACCCCAAAGGTGATGAGACACCATCATCTATCCTACTGTGGGCAGGTTCCAGAACTCTTTCTGCAGTTCTGATGCACTTGGGATGAGGGGTGTTGTTTAAGAAAAGGCACTGGTTTGGGAACTGGAGCAGCCAGCAGCATGCAGCAGGTTTTGAAAACCCGACTGTGCACACCTGGAATATAGCCAGCTGTCCATTACACTGCTGTGCTCAGTTTCCTGAGCAATGAGTAAAGGCAGCTCTTGGTCCGTGTCTTATGACATCTAGGGTCCTTCTGGTCTGCCTCATTGTCCCTGTGCCATGCGGGATTTAAAATGATCAGCTTGAGAAAAATAATAGTTTTGAAATCAGTTTGAGACAGTGATTTAAAAGGATCACAGAGCCCATGTGCAAAGAGACTCGGCCATGTAAGCTCTCAGCAGAGCCAGTCAAAGAGAGGTCAGAGATGGCCTACCACCCATCTTTTGTGACTCTGAGGTGAAAGACTTTGAAAGAGCCCAGCACGAGGGTGCCTTGCATCATGGCCCCAAGAGATGAAGAACAGAGCATGTGCCACTCAACCCCACATTTCCCCCAGATACATGACTATCCAGGAACTGCTGCCAAATCACTGTCTTTCTCAGACAGCTTCCCAGATAAACTGTCATCCAATTTCTCCTTGGAAAGGTGCTGATCCCTCAAGACATTCCAACTACAAGCCCCCCAGGGCTGTGTGGCCTGCCTGCTTACTACTGCTCTAAACAGACCATCTGGAATCAGCTTAGTTAACTCCGTCTGTTTATTACTGGGTGGCAATCTCTTCTTTATGCTGCTTTATTGAGAGATAAATTATTTTTTTCCTCATGTTAAGTGTTGATATTTAAAATACTGGGATTTTGTTTTATTTTTGTTGTTTTGTTTTGTTTTGAGACAGGGTTTCTCTGTATAGTTCCTGGAACTCACTCTGTAGACAAGGCTGGCCTTGAACTCATAGAGATTCACCTGCCTCTGCCTCCAGAGTTTTGTGATTAAAGGCATGTGCCACCACCACCACCACCCAAACAAAGGTTTCTAAGCCAGTCAGCGTGTTTGTTTGTGATAAGATACAGGTTATGGAATTGCTTCTGTGTGTGTTGTTACGTACCTTTCAGCTTGCTGTTGAGTGCTGTTGACACATAAGCAAACCAGTTTATGAACAAATATTGAATCTGAGCTGCACCTATGACTCTCTGAGTCAAAATTTAGCTTTTTTTCTTTTCATCCAGACTAAACTCACCCTGCAGCTCAGTGGTAGAATGGGGGGAGGGGGGATCCAGTGCACTTGAAGGACTAGAGTTGTATGAGCAAGCATGCTGCTGTCTAGTTCCATGACAAAGATGGAAGATGTCTACACCTTAGAGTATGCTTTCACCAAAGGCAATTGTTGGTGTTGCTGTGAGCAAGTTGTTTCACCAAGTGTGTTTCTGCTGTTAAAGCAGGATACAGACCAAGGGAGATGCTCAGCGGGTAAATGTCTGCTAGGCAAGCATGAGGCCCTAAATTGGGATCTGCAGAGCCCACTTATAAAGCTTAAAAAGTGCAGTGGCATGTATCTAAAACTCCAAGGCTAGGGCTGGGCCGAGACCTGTGCTCATAGGTCAGGTAGCCTGACTAAATCACTGAGGGACTGAAAGGTTCAGGCTTTAATGCTGATCGGCTCTACCTCTTTAAGAGACAGACTCCATCCCCTGACAACAGTCAGGGCATGCACAGGAAAACGTGCTATGTCATCACCACATCACCCACCACGCATGTGTGAGGACTCTGGGCATGCGTGGAACCTCAGTGTGCATGCGCAATCTTCCCTTTAAAAGTTCCAACTTCCCTGCTGCTCTCTCTGCACTCACTCTCTACTCTCTCTGCTGCTTCTTTGCTCTCTGTTTGCTTCTGCCTCTCTCTCTCTCCATGGCGACCGGCCATGGCGGTCAGCCATTACCCCTGTTCCTCTTCTCTCTTAGTCTCCCTACTCTGCCGGGCCTTATAATAAACTGAATATGCCTCATCTGCCTCTTTTTCTCTTTTTCTTCAAAAATCTAACAGGGACCCTATTTTTTTTTTAAGTGAAAGTGGAGAACAATTAAGAACACACCCAACGTTAACCTCTGGCCAAACTATAGACACACTGTGTAGATAGATAATCACGCACATACGCACATGCACCCAAAACAAGGGGAGGGGTAGGAATTTTACAACTTACCTAGATATGTGTTGCCACACAGAAAAATGTCTTCCATACTGTAAACAAACCTATTTTTTTCCTTTCTGAAAGAGTGATTTGTATCATAAACACCCATAAGAGATGGCTTAGTGCAGTCCTCTTGGCTCGAGGAAATTATTAGTTCATGTCTTCCCCAGTCTGAAGCACACTCAGCCTGAAGATGCATGAATTGAGGAAGGGCTTGCCAGAAAGCATGAGTTTACTTTGCCCTATTTCCTCTCCCACAGGGACACACAGAAGGAGAAGTGTGGGGGCTGGCAGCACATCCTCTCCTGCCAATCTGTGCAACAGTAAGCGATGACAAAACCCTTCGGATCTGGGAACTATCCTCCCAGCACCGGATGCTGGCAGTACGGAAACTTAAAAAAGGTACACACATCTCGTTACATAAAAAGGCATCTGTTTACAGACAACAGACTACGTTGGACTCACTCATTCATCAACTACTGTGGAATAAGGGCACCTATTACACACCCTAAAAATATCCTAGGCAAGGAAATTCAGAGTTGACCATTCAGTTAAAACTAAGAACACATAGAGATTTTCCAGAAGCTGTTTGGAACTCAGATTGCTCCAGCACCATTCACTTATACAGCATAGGCACTGGCTGAAATTCGTCAACTTATAAAATAAAACAAATGAAGAAAACTGCTTTTTATCTCGACTAACAGTTTGATAGACAAAAATAGTTGACATCGTAAATGTGCGTTGGACATATGCACGCAGTAAACAGCAGGAGGGATCAGTTCAGCAAAGGCTTCTTGAGTGGCTCTATATGTCAGGCCCTAAGGATCCCACAGAGAACACAAGATTTGAAAGGAGTCCCAGCAGCAGCTGGCCTGCTTACTTGAGTAATTTGAGAGGAATCTAAAAATAGGACTCTTTATAAAGGGGTGGGTAGAGTCAAAATGACCAGGAATAGTACAGTGCTATGCCACTAGCAATTGCAGGTGCCATTGCCAGGCCTGGACTTGAAAAGACAAAAGGACAAAGTGGTTGGTGGAATGGGGAGTGAGAAACGTGTGAGATGGGCTTTGCAGAGGGGGCTGGAGGAGCAAAACTCCAGTCTCCTAGTCTTCCACCTTCTAGTCTTGCCATGCTCCATCTTGGCCAAACCCACCCAGACACCAAGAGTCTGAGAGCTCCTGACACAATGCACTCAGAGAAGCTTCAGGCAGACATGTGGAAATGGGTGGAGTGTAGAATGGCTATCCCACAGGAACAGGGGACCATGGAGCTCAGCTTAGACCCACCACCTGGACTGCCTTCATAGGAGAAAACAAGGGAACTGAACCTCATAGTCACAAAAATTCTTGAGTTAGGAAAGTCTGAGCTTGGGCCCTGGCCCTTCAGCATTTGTGCTGAGTCATTCTGCAGACAGAAAAGTCTAAAGGAATCATGCAAAATGAAAGCATAGAGCTGGTAGTAACAGTTGTGAGCCAGAGACCATGCTGCTCATCTCTTTTACTCAGCAGAGACCCAGTGAACAGGCTATCTATCATTCTCATCACTTCCAGGTTAGGAAGGTCATCTAACTAATAAATAGTGAAACTGGATGCACATTGCAGCATGATGGCCTCACAGAACAACCCGTGCCCTGGTTGTCACTGTCTCTCCATTGCCTCACTTTTCCCTGGATACCTACAAGTTGGTAGATGGTGGAGCAAGGATTTCAACCAAGTCCAAAGCCATGCTCTTGAACAATTGAATCATCTTGCCCACTAACTTGCGTTGGTGAAATGAAACTAGGACATTATTGTGGAAGCTAGTCAATGGACTTTAATCCCTAGGTTAAAAATTAGTTCAAAAGAGCAACTATGGCCCTTAGATGACAGTTCAACCCAGTTTCCCTTGCTATCCTGGTGTAATTATTAACATCTCTCCTTTCACCCAGTTTGTACAGTAATTGTGGTTCACCCCACCCTGATGATGTTCCCTAGGGCTAGCTAGTCTTTGTACTAATAGAGGGAGCCATTATAGGTTTAAAGAGAAATCTGGCACTAGGGAAATGTCCAGAGATCTACAAGGTTGACCCCAACTAACAATCTAAGCAATAGTCCAAAGGCTACCTTAAAAGACCTTCTCCCATAATGAGATTGATGACTATCTTATATGCCATCTTAGAGCCTTCATCCAGTAGCTGATGGAAGCAGAAGCAGACACCCACAGCTAAACACTGAGCTGAACTCTGGAATCCAGTTGCAGAGAGGGAGGAGCAAAGGGGTCAAGACCAGGCTGGAGAAACCCACAGAAACAGCTGACCTGAACAAGGGGGAGCTCATAGACCCCAGACTGATAACTGGGTAACCAGCATAGGACTGATCCAGACACCCTGATTGTGGGCGTCAGTTTGGAGGTCTGGTTAATCTATGGGGCCTCTGGTGGTGGATCAGTATTTATCCCTAGTACAGAAATGGACTTTGGGAGTGCAATCCACATAGAGAGATACTCTCCCAGCCTAGACACACAGGGGAGGGTCTAGGCCCTGCTCCAAATGATATGACAGACTTTAAAGATTCCCCCCATGGAAGGCCTCACCCTCCCTGGGGAGCAGAAAGGGGATGGGATAAGGGGGTCAGTGGGGGGCAGGGGAAGAGGGGAGGCAGAAGGAACTGGGATTGGCATGTAAAAGAAGCTTGTTTCGAATTTTTAAATAAATAAATAAATAAAAACCAAAGTTACTAGCATGAACACAGCTTTTAACATCGGTCAGCAGAGGCATGGGTCCCTACAGAAGCTAGACTGAGCTGCCTCAGCACAAGGCAGCATGGATGGGGCTGTAACAACCTGCAGTTCCCACCTCCTGATTGTGCAGTATGATCCACAAAGCAGAGAAATTAAAATTATGAGGGGTTTTCTAACTAAAACAAATGTGTATTTCAGTCATGATTTCCCAAAAATGATTTCTAGACATTGTGTTGGAGAACTTGTGTTCTTGAATGTTTTGTCTTTTCTCAGACGATAATGGTATCCACTAGCCTTCTCTTGTATACACTCTACCGACCTTAAAAGGCCCAGATACTCCAAGATAAAAAAAATGAATGAATAAACCCTATGGGAATTAAAATTTTATTTTTAAGATCAGCTTTTTAATTATGTGTATCTGTGTGTCTGTGTGCGGGCATGTCCATCTGCATGCAGGTGCCCACATAAGAAGGTGTCTGACTCCCTGAAGCCAACTGATGTGGGGGTTGGGAACCAAACTGAGGTTCTCTGCAAGAGCAATGAGTGCTCCCAACCTCTGAGTCATTTCTCCAGCTCTAAAAGTATGATTTTGATAGTATGTGGGATTTAAATTTTGGTATTTTTCACAGATCTAAAAATATGCATTTACTATGTTACATATACACACATACACATGAAGACTTGAGATAATTCTTGGGAGTTTGTGCTCTCCTCTCATGGGTTCTCAGGTTCAAACTCAGGTCATCAGGCTTTTATGTATAAAAATGCTTTTACCCACAGAACTATCTCACTAATCCCCAAATGATGAAATTTGAATTCCCATCTGGGTAGTGCTAAAGGCCCAGTCACACATAAACATGTGACACACACATCCACGTTTCTCCCATGTTTCCATCTGCTTTGTTCCACAGCAAAGTGCTCAACTAAGATTTTCTTGGATCCTTTTGTAGGAGGAAGATGTTGTGCCTTCTCCCCTGACGGGAAAGCCTTAGCAGTTGGCTTGAATGATGGAAGTTTCTTGGTGGTAAATGCTGATACTGTGGAAGACATGGTCTCCTTCCATCACAGAAAAGAAATGATCTCTGACATTAAATTTTCAAAAGGTGAGCCGGGCAGTGATAGTGCATGCATTTAATCCCAGCACTCATGAGGGAGAGGCGGGTAGATCTCTGTGAGTTCAAGGCCAGCCTGCTCTACAGAGTGAGCTCCAGGACAACCAGTAATGTTACACAGAGAAACCCTGTTTCGAAAAAAAAAATTCAAAAGGTGAAGATGGTAATAGATACCTTTAAAAACAGCAATGTCAAGACAACATTTTTTTTTTTTTGTAAGAATGGACTGTTCTAAAAGTTTCCTTGACCTTTCTCCCATTTCAAAATCTTAAGTTCCTGGAGGTGAATTCCTACATCAAATGTGTTGCTATTTACTGTAAACTTGTCTCTATAGACACAGGAAAATACCTTGCGGTGGCATCCCATGATAACTTCGTGGATATTTACAACGTACTTACAAGCAAGAGGGTTGGCATCTGTAAAGGAGCTTCCAGCTACATCACACACATTGACTGGGACTCTAGAGGTAAATTAGGCTGTGGTTTTAAGATAAATCTGAACTTGAGCAGGAAGAGGAGGGCCTATGGCAGCATATAAGGCTAACCCAACAACCTAGGAGCAGCTGCTGTTAACGCTCTGAGTGTTTTCCTATTCTGTCAAGGTCGTTATTAATTGAAGCCATTGGGGCTTAAGATGAAGGAAACATTTGACGCCCTGAGTTGGGTTTAGTATAATCTGTTCTTGCCTCTTCTATTCAGCCTTCCTGACCAAGACTCTATCTCTAAGAGTTTGACCCATAAAGTCTCAAGCAATATTCATCCATCAGTGGACACAGAAATCTATGTTCAGCTCTCCTGAATTTGTCTTTGCTCTCAAAGTGCCTACCCCCCCTTGCCTCCTCCAAGTCACTTCCATAAAACCGTGAAGATTTGTCTATTTAATACACCTAGCATCTACCATTTGTAAAGTCTTAAGACAGAAAATGTGGATCTAGAAGTAAGGCCTGGCTCCTATTCTCCATGAAAGTTATAGTTTAGGGAGGAAGATGGACTTGTTCTGGAAGAATACGTGATGATGCAGACGTGGGGTGAGAAGCTGTGAGTCCCAGAGGAAGTAGTGAGAAGGCTCAGGACGGGCCATGTCAGTATTGGGACAGACTGATCCTGGAGACTTGGTTCATGAGAGCCTGGAAAGCATTTAGGAGTGGGCAGGATCCTCATTTGCAAAGAAATTATAGTCTGCTGTGGTAGAAAAGTGCAGTGTGTGGTCTGAGAGAGCTCCAAGGGACATCCAAGACGCCATCATAGGCATGGGTCACCAGCAAGCAAGAGAGGGTGTCCTGAGCCAAAGGAACACAGTGTGCAGAGCAGAGAAGGTGGAAGGGCCAGGGAGATGGCTAAGAAGTGGTGAGTACTGCTTGGCTGAGCAGTGGAGGAAGGGAGTCTGGAGAGTCCAACAGGACCTTCCATCATGCTAGCTTACACAGAATTCTGTTCTGGAGGCATCAGGGAGCTCTAGGTAATTTTGAGTGGGGCATTCCCCAAAGCAACTAATAAGAGTTGGAGAAAGCTGGCAAGATCTGAGCCTGGAAGAGGTTCCTGCAGAGAATCTGGGATACCTTGTTTCAAGTATTTTTTGAGATTGTGGTAGACTGGGCCTGGCAGCTGTTTAGCTGTGTCTGGATTTACTATACTGTAATCTGAACTTTATTTAAGCTTTGTGGCCTTCAGAGGTTTTTGTACAGTAGATGGAAAGGAAAACATGTGACTTATTGTAAGAGGTACAGTCCCAATGAGGGCAGAGGGAAATCAGATAAATCACTGGTGTTCAGGTCAGGGCCATGCCAGACAGGCAGAGAGGCAAAGGCGTGGGATGGAATTTGTGGCCAGGCCCAAGCATTGCCACTTTAGTCACCTGGAGTTGGTGAGGCCAAGGGGTGAGTGGGAACAGCTGCCTCTCACTACCTACTATTTTTGTTCTCTGCTCTACTCTTTTAAGAACCCAAGAAGGCAATGATTGTCCCTCTTCCCTAAGTATGATAGGGTTAGATGAGCATTTGGAGCCCACCGCACACACAGCCTCAGCACTTGGCATAAGGTGTGAAATCTCGCCTCTGCCATTACTGTTAGGGGGATAAAACCCACCAATAGGTTTATTTTGGAAGTGAAGAGCCTACAGAAAAATGCGATATAGGAAGTTTTGATTTGTAAGATTTTGAAGAGATTTTAAATGGAAAATATATAAACATTTTACCATTATTAAATATGCCAGGTCAAGTATAGAGTATATTCTCATTGTTGTGTGGCCATTATCATTATCCACCTCCAGAATTCACTTCATCTTGTAGGACTTAGAACTCCTGTCCTGAAAAAGAAAAAAGAAAAAAAAAAAAACAGGACTATCCAACAAATGATAGCTCTCCTGTAAGTTTCTGCTTTTTGAAATTGGCTTCTCTATGCGCCTCATTTAGTAAAATCACAAGAATCTCACTTTCAATGCCAGAACACTTTGCCTTTACCTCATCAACACAGTAGACAGCAGTGGGGAAAAGGAGTAAAAATTTTTATTTTGTCAGGGCTTGGGGAATCATAGCTCATTTTAGTGCTGCTGAATAAAAGACCAGCCTCAATCCTTGAGTTACTTGACAGATACTTAAAGTCAAATTTTATGAGGTCCATATTTTTAAATTAGAGCTTTGGGCATTAACCCATGTAGTGTGTTGATATTTGTGTGCTTTTTTGGAATAATGTAACATACATTTAATGCAACTTATGAGACTAATGAAAATGAGTAAAATTGTGGCAACCATGCTTAGCATTTTATAACAAAATAATGAATGCATAGTTTAATTCACTCTCTTATTTCTACCACAACAGGGAAATTGTTGCAAGTTAATTCAGGTGCCAAAGAACAACTTTTCTTTGAAGCTCCAAGAGGCAGAAGACATATAATAAGGCCCTCAGAGGTAACAGTCCTACATAAAGATTTTTTAAAGATATTTGAGGTCTGGGGAGATGGATCAGCCATTAAGAGCACTGACTGTTCTTACAAAGGACCTGGGTTCAATTCCCAGCACCCACATGTTAGTTCACACCTGTCTGTAACTCCAGTTCCAGGGTTTCTGACACCCTCACACAGACATGCATGCAGGCAAAACACCAATGAGCATAAAACAAAAATAAATTATATATTTTTTAAAGATATTTTGCATTGGTTGGAAGACATGCATTCTAATCTAGCCTATTAATCTGAATTATGAACCCAGGTCACTGTCTACCTTTAGGTTTTTAATTTCTTAACTGTAAATCATTAATCAGTTTTCCTAATTTCTGAGGACAAAGGCTAACTGTGTCACTGACATTGTGATGGCACTGTGCTCAGTTTTGTTTCCTGAGGATACTGAATATGCTAACAAACTGGATGGATGGCACACGCCACCTTTTCCATTCATCATGCCATTTTGTGCAATGTCTTTTATGAATGTAATTTTATATATTTTCTCAGTGTTCATTTGTAGTAATGATAATGGAAGATACTTTCTGAAACAGAAGGCCAACCAGTCCAGTGTCAAACTGTTTTCTTTTCCCCATGTTTTCCCCATGCCTTTTGCCCCACATGTAATTTTTTAATAATTGAGATCAAACCTATGAAAAACTTAGAACCTGGTACCTGCTGCTAAGGCTGGCAATCCAAGTTCAAGCCTCAGTAACCACAGAGTGGAAGGAGAGTACCGACTATCTACTAACCCAGTAATTCTTAGCCAGAAGTAGTTTGCCCCCCAGGAACATTTATTTATTCATGTCTGTGGAGAAGGGCAATACTGGCATCCAAGGGGTAAAGGCCAGTATTGCTGATAACATAGGGCTACTTGCACAGACTGTTATCCGCAACAAAGAACAATCCAGCATACAGTGTCAGTGCCGGGCTGAAAATAGCTGATCTAGTTCATAGATTATACAGTGATTAAAAATCTAATTAGAATCTTACAAACCTTTATTGTGGTCAGGGTTCCAAAATTCCAAAGTATGCTTTTGGTCTAGAAAAAATATTTGAGTACATTTGACTGTAGTATTGGCTTATTGAGCAATGGCAATACTACTATAAATATGCCACTCAGTTGCTGGATGCAATGCTTGTGCCCAGTAATCTTAGCACTTGGGAGGCTGAGAGTTCAAGGCCAGCTTGGCCTACAGACTGAAACCCTGTCTCACAAAAAAGAACAACAATAATGGCAGCTAAAAATTGGAGCTCAGCACCCAACACAAATGTCTGCCATTGGAAAGCTTGCCATCTACAACTGCTCATTTGAAAAAATCATTTCCCTTAAATAAAACAAAAAAAAAATAAGGCTATACAAAATGGTCACACTCTTTTGTACTCCTGCAGATTGAGAAGATAGAGTGGGACACATGGACTTGCGTCCTGGGACCCACCTGTGAAGGAATCTGGCCAGCACACAGCGACGTGACAGATGTCAATGCTGCCAGTCTTACTAAAGACGGCTCCCTCTTAGCCACTGGGGATGATTTTGGTTTTGTTAAGCTTTTTTCATATCCAGTCAAGGTAATATTGCATGTTTGCTATAGATTTGATCTGTTTCATTAATTACCCTAAATCTATCAGTTACACCTGAGTGGGTATTTTTTTTTTTATTTGAATGCATGGACAGTCAGGAGTGATATTTATTACTTTTGTAATGCTGTGTAGAAACCTCCCTGGTACTGTTTGTAAGCAAATGACTTAAGTGAAATTCTCATGACCCAGAAGTCCCCCAAACCCTACTCGTATGAACTGCGAATCAGGCATCATCTTTATACCTCACTCCGCCTCTCTGACTTGTTCTGACATAGGTCCAGATACCAGGAACTCACTGTCTCTGAAAGCAGACAATTGTCTTTAAGCAGCTTCTGTTGTTAACAGGCATTACTTGACCCTGGGCTGAGCTCCTGTTTGTAGCCTGCACTCTGCCTCTTGATCATTGAGACATCTTCCCAGTTCTCTAACAGCCCTTGTATGTAGGAACGTTGTACCCTGTAAGCTCATCTCTCCATCTGGGTGTACCCAGCTCCTTCAGCCTTTTCCCATGTGCCATGATTTGTAGCTGCCTCTCCCTCTATGCTAACATTATCAATCCCTTCTCCAGCTTCCTAGAGCTGATCCAGTGTTTCAGATAGAACCTGACTAGCTCACAGGACAGCCAGACTGTTAGCTTCTTGGTTTTGATTTTACAGTTTCATTGATTAAAATTAAAATGTCACCAGTTGAGTTGTAATCATGTATAGCTGAACTATACATGTAGCTGTCATTCTCAGAAGTGTTCATGTTCCCACCCTGTACTTGCAGAATCTAGTTTCTGAACTCTAGTTTTAGTGTTTCATGTCTACACCAAGATAACTTTTATTTTGCTAAGCTTTTCTATCCCAGCCACATCTTCCAAATGCCTTCAAGACTGCTTAGTCCATTCTAGCACCATGCCATCTTGGTCTTACATCCTTATTTCTAAATCATGGAAAGAGATAACAGTTGAACACCAGTGCCAGATGCCCCATCAGTGTTCATTCCACATGTCTATCTATGTTTAGTTCCAATTCTGTAACTGATAACAGATATTTAAAACTCTCTAGCTATACCGTACTGCAGCCTTCTCCAAGACATCATGAAAATACTTGGTGAAATCAGACAGCCTGAACCACATGTTGTAACTCTGCCCTTGGAAGGCAGGCACAGGATGAGGTGCTTACAGCCAGCATTGGTTAGATAGCAAGTTTGAGACCAGCCAGGACTATATGTCTCAAAGCAAACATACAATAAAAAACATTTTTAATATATAGCTGAAAGTCATGTTTGCTGTGTCTCTGTCATCCCCAGTTTCTCCTAATGACCCACCCAACAGAAGAGGAGAAATCGATTCACACTCATGGGTCCTGCCACTCCAAATCCCTTGTTGAACTCCTGTCTAACATCTCATCTGTTGAGATTGCATCAGCTCATGCATCAACATTTCCCAGTGTCTACTTGTTTGCCCTGTTGGGTGGAGCAGCCTTCCTGTGTCTACCTTTCTAATTGCTAGCATTCTTTGTGGTCACATTTGATGGTTCATATAATCATGCAAATGGGCTGGTTTGAGGGACATTCTCTTTGCTAAAGGAAATAAGTAAATTTCATCTGGGTTATTATACCATCTATCCTAAGAGGTCTTTTTAAGTTCCCTCTACTTTTCTTGTTTTTCTCTCAGTTTTCCAGTTCATGCAAAGCTAACACATTTAAAAACCAAGCACACATCTCCCTCAGTATCTACTCCGGCTCTTTTGGATTTTTGTTTTGTTTTTCTTCTCTCTTGTTAGACCTGGTCACATCATCACTGATAGGAGCCTTTTCTAATGACATGTGCAGTGTAGACACTGTTCACCCCACATTCATTAGTCTTCACCCAGTGGCCCATTCATTACCCCGTCACCTGCCAGCCTCTCCTATTTGATCAGAGTTCAGTTCTCAGTAGCCATTCTCCTTGATTCCTCTACTTTTTAATTCTTATATGGATGTGTCACACATGTGAGTACATATATACATGTAATAATAAAAAAAACCTATGTGCATGGGTGTTTTGACTGCATATATGTCTATGCACCATAAGTGTCCTTGGAAGCCAGAGGGGTACCCAGTCCCCTGGAATTAGAGTTATATACATTGTGAGCCACCATGTGGGAGCTGAGAATCAAACCTGGGTCCTCTGGAAGAGCAGCCAGTGTTCTTAACTGCTGAGTCATCTCTCTAGCCCTCCACTTTAGTTTTCCAGAAAGCCTAGAGCTTACTGGCAGTCTAGCTCCCTAACTTGGAAACTCCAGGAATAAGGTTACAGACTAGATAACCATGCCCAGGTTTTTCACATGGGCATTGGGGATCCAAACTCAAGTCCTCGCTCTTGAGTGGAAGGTACTGTATTAACTAAGCCGTCTCCTTGGCCCTCCACTCTTATTCATTTTAAAATGAAATTGCTTTTAGGACTTTTTTTTTAGAAAAAAAGGGGGGGGGGCTTAGGAAATACTTAGCTGAAACCCTGTAGTACTATTGGTTTTTACTCTTGTTCTAGGAAGTTCCATTTCTCCAAACTGACCAGGTGGGATGCCTGGATAGTCATTTGAAACTATGCCCTTCAGGCTTACAGAGTTCCAGAGCAGGATCTTAGATATTACACCAAAAACAAAACAAAACAAAAGGGGGGGGCAGAAATAAACAAATGAGACTACACTAAACTAAAACCACTATGTACAACAATGGAAATGATCAATAAAACGAAAAATCAGCCACCAAAGAGAAAGAACATTCACAGTGTCTGCTAAAGGGTTAGTAACTAAAACACACAGGAACTCAGCTCAACAGACATGGATCTAAGGTAGTGAGTCAGTGGTACAGTGCTTGCCTGACCCTCTAACGTACTGCATTCAGTCTCCACAACCTTAAAAGACTGGAGCCGGAGAAATAGCAAACAGAACCCAGTGGTTTTTACATTTGTAAAATTTTGAGGAACCTTCATGCTGTTTTCCATAATGCCGTACCAATTTGCATTCTCACCAACAGCATCTTAGCATTTACATCAGTGTCCCTTTTCCTCCACACCCTCCCAAACACTTGTTCTTTTGTCTTCTGGGTACCAGTTGTCCTAACATATGTGGTGATATCATGTTATGGTTTCAATTTACATTCCCCTGGTAAGTGAGGTTGGATGACTTTTCATACCCCCATTTCCCATTTCTATGTCGGTATTTTGTTTGTTTTATTTTTGTTTTTACAGAAATGTCTGTTCAGCTCCTTTGTCGTCCTCGTGTGTGTGTGTGTGTGTGTGTGTGTGTGTGTGTGTGTGTGTGTGTGTGTGTGTGTGTGGGGTTTTGTGTGTGTTGTGTGTGTGTGTGTGTCTGTCTGCTGTCTTTCTCTCTGGTTTGTTTTTATTATTTTAAAACTTATGTGTGTATAGGAATACAAGGGGCCTTAGATACCCTGCAACTGGAGTAAAGGTGGTTTGAGTGCCTAGCATGGGTGCTAGGAATCAAACTCCAGTCCACTGGAAGAGCAGGAGGCACTTTTAACTCTTAAGCCTTCTCTTAACCTCACTCCCACTGCTCACATATGTCAGGCTGGCCTTGAATTTACTGTGTTCCTCCTGCTTCTGCCTTCCAAGTCTTGGTATTGCAGGTCTCTACCACCATACCTAGTTCCCCCAATTTTTTTTTTTTTACCTAGCTTTTCTAGCTCACTTCCCTTGTCCAGTTGGTGTACACTATGAAGATGAGTGTAGTTGCTCCTCCAACTATACTCTTGAGCAAATGCACTGTTAACTGAATGTGTCCTCCCTGCAAACACAGCAGAGCCCTAACTCCCCTGTGAGTGTGTGTGGAGAGAGGAGCTGTACAGAAGTAAGTCTGAATGAGTTTATAAGTGTGCAGCAATGGTCTGACAGACTTAGTGAGTTATAAAAAGAGACAACAGAACCACACCTAGCGGTGCACGCCTTAAACACTCAGGAGGCAGAGGCAGGTGGATCTCTTAGTTCAAGGCCAGCCTGGTCTACATTGCAAGTTCCAGGACAGCCAAGACTGTTACAGAGAAACCCTATCTCAATAAATAAATAAATAAATAAATAAATAAATAAATAAATAAATAAATAAATAAAATGAGACACCAAATTTATATGCAGTGGTACATGTCTGTGGTACCAGTAGTTGACAGGCTGGCATGAAATGTCCTAAGTGTGAGGTCAGCCTGGGCTATATAATGAAACCCCGTTTCAGAGAGGAGATGCACAGAGCTTTTATTCCTCACACACAACACTCTTCCTGTGTCTAAAATTCGAGCTTCATTTGTTAGCTACTATATCTTCAATTATCTTCTTGGTCATTTTACCCATTGTTTTTTCCCTAGTTACTAAGCACATTTTCCAGGCATTATTCTTCACTTGGCAAACATACCCCTATTGTATTCACTTTTATAGTTACAAGCCTTCTTTGAAGACATGTCTGTTCAGATCTTTTGTTTAACTTTAATTTCTTTCTCTTCCTTTTTTTCAAGAATTATTTTTACTAATTTTTTAAAAGATGTATATTATGGATGTGAGTGGGTGGGTATGTGTACAGGAGTGCAGGTGCCTTCAGAGGCCAGAAAGGGGCATTAGATCTTGGCGCACAGAGATCTGGAGTGCTCAGAAATACTGCCTCCCTATTGGCTTTCCCTGATATTACTACTCTTTGAGCTTTGTTGAGAACTAGGTGGTTTCCAAGTGACAGGACAGGGTCAGAGAGAGCAGCAGATCCAGAGAGCTGTAGGACTGAAGTCCCAAGCACCTGTCCCTGTTTCCTGCCATGTGTCTACCTTTTCAGGCTTCCCAGTACATCAGTCAGAGCCCTTGTTTTGTACTAACGTTTTCTCTGGCACATCAGTGGCTGGCTCCTGACCCAGGAGTTCATGTGGCTTACCACATTGCATAAGGGAATCCCTGGGAACCTCTGAGAGGATGGAAAAACTGACTGTTTAAGTGGCTTCCATGGGAGCTCTTTCTGTGTTTCATGACCCCAGAATGGAAGCTCTTCCTGGTGCCAATGCTGGCTTCCCAGCACTTGTCAGGACAACCCTGGGGACAGCCACAGGCATACCCCACCCTCCATCCCACAACACCTGCTGATATAGTGGTGCAGCCTGGGCACCCCACTCCAAAAAGCTTCCAGTAATGACCTGAAAACTGGATTTTATTTTATTTAGATTTGTCTAGTGGAAAGGAGTTTGCTTTGCCTTTACAAGAGTTCTTCAAGTGGTTTCTGCTTTCCAGTGTCCATGGGAGAACTGCTGTGACATTCATTTTAGACATCACTTGAGGTTCCTCGCTCCCTTCTGTCCTTAATTCCCAAATTCACCTCAAAAATACGTGTTGAAGACCTATTGTAAGCCAAGAGCTGTCTTTCAGGGATACCAGCCCTGCCTGCATGGAGCATGCATTATCATGATACTAGCAAAAATTGCTGCTTTGAGCTGTTCTAGTACATCCTAGATAACAGGAAAAGTAACAGGAGTAGTAGGCCGCTGACTGGTAACTGCCAGCTTCTGGCTTTATTTTCAGGGACAGCATGCAAGATTCAAGAAGTATGTGGGGCACAGCGCACACGTCACCAACGTGAGGTGGCTGCACAATGACTCTGTGTTGCTCACGGTAGGAGGTGCCGACACAGCCTTGATGATCTGGACCAGGGAATTTGTGGGAACCCAGGAAAGCAAGCTGGTTGATAGTGAGGAGTCAGATACAGATGCAGAGGAAGATGGAGGTGAGCCCCAATCAGCTGCGTCCCTTCCGTGATGATGGCACCTTTCTCTCTGGTCCCTCCCCACCCCCAACACCTGAAAACCAGCTCATGCCCCAATCTCTTTCTGTTGCTTGAGGCTATGACAGTGACGTCGCTAGAGAGAAGGCCATCGACTATACCACCAAGATCTATGCTGTGAGCATCAGGGAAATGGAGGGTACCAAACCACACCAGCAGCTAAAAGAGGTGTCCATGGAAGAAAGGTATGGCATTGGCAAGGTCTGTTTGCATTTGTTGTACCTGACAACAAACCTATTTGAACCAGAGAACATTTCTCTGCCCTTGAATTTATACCAAAGTGAGACTTTAATTATCTGCCTGGAGTTTTAACCTATGCACAGACTTAGGTTCAGGAAATTGCCCAATGCCCTTAGCACAAGCCTCGGGCTATTCACAGTTGTGCAGATTAGCTATGGTATATGACTTGGATAGGTAAGAAATTTGGCTGGTGGCTTTTGGAAACCTGTTCCCCATGCTAGATTACCTTGCCCAGCCTTGATGCACGGGGAGGAGCTCTGTCCTGCCTCAACTTGATGTGGCATGCTTTGTGCAAGCCCATGGGAGGCCTGCCCCTCTCTGAATGGAGACTAGAGGAGGAGTGGATAGGGAGAGGGTAGATGGGAGTTCAGCAGAGGAAAGAGGAAGAGAGGAGAGAAGAGAAACTGTGGTCAGTATGTACAATAAATGAAAAAAAGTTAATAAAATCAAATTTAAAAAAAAAGAAATTTGGCTGAACTGGGTTTCCCTCACCTAGGGGAGGGAGCAGGAGAGCCTCAAGGCCGCCTGAATTTGTGACTAACAAGACAGCTTGCTGATCAGCAGGGCTGGAGGTCAGGCTTTTGAAGTGGATTGAGGGACACTGGTGGAGTGGTGGAAATCACCTTCCATTCGACCAGTCTTTCTGTGGTACTCTGTCACTTGATGCGCCTTCTCCTACGGTGACCTCACTTGCCCTGCTCTGTGCAGGGGACTAGCGTTTGTAGACCTGACCCATTTGATTTTGTTCCTGGGAATGCTATACTTATATAGTAGACTTCTAATGCTATTTTGTACCTTTCTGACCTTCAGTTTTAAGTACTGACAAGAGAAATTGCCAAACATTGTATAATTTTAAAATGCAAGCTCATAATTTCATAATTGACTATGTCCCTAATTGGGAAGCATAAATATTGAATAAAAACTAGACTCTGTAGACAGTCTCCAGGATCTGACCCAGACTGATGAATATTTAGAAAGTTCTCGGGATCTCTTTTCCCTGAGGGAGGCTGGATGGTCAAGGCTACCTCGACACCACACTGATACTGAGATTCAAGGTTTTGCTTTTGATAGAGCCTTCTGCCTAATGAAACTGTGTGACAAACATGTTCCCTGCTGACTCTTAGGCACAGGGTTAGGTCCGACTTCTCACTTTGGTTCAGTGAGAGATTTTGGGTTAGCTTGCTGAGTGGTGGGTGGGCATGTTATTGGTGAAATGGATGCTGAAGCAGAAAAGCCCTAATCCTCCCCTTAAATCTTTATTACAAGTTACATGTTAATTCTCCCCCTTTGAGTCCTTATTGCATGTTATAGTGCAAAGGGAAAGTTTTCTTTTGCTTAAAAAATGGATTTTTCTGTAATGATTTGAAAAATACAGTTTCTTGAACTAGAGAGATGGCTCAGTGGTTAAGAGCACTGGCTGCTCTTCTAGAGGACCTGGGTTCAATTCCCAGCACCCACATGGCAGCTCACAACTATCTGTAATTCCAGTTCCAGGGGATCTGACAGCTTCACACAGACATACATGAAGACAAACACCAATGCATATAAAATAAAAATAAACTATTTTTAAAATATAGTTTCTTTTTCTTAAAGTAACTACAAAGAGAAAATAATGTTAGAGGACTTAATTCTAAGAGCTGAACAAAGAAACGTACACATAGGAATGCATGAATAGGCCTGCCACTTAACTGATCTATCCAAGAGAGGCATTCGGTCTGAGTTAAATCTTTTTAAAAAATAAAGTATTCAGCCTCTCCAATTTCACATTCCATCATGAATGGAATTGGCTTACCCATTATTCCAAGGGTGTTCAAGTTGGTTTATATAAAACTCAGTTGTATATCACATTGAAATTTAGACCCATCACAAAAATACAGCCACATCACCACCATCCCAACTCTCTGGTTCCACGTTGGATTTCAGGTGTGACCCACATATCATACAACCACTCCTTGTCTTATTACCTCTTTGTACAGCTCTATAAAAAGGCACCCAGTTTAGTATGAGATGGGACATAAGGAGGTTAACAGTTTTCCATTTTAAGATTAAAATTTGTGAACACATATTATTTTCTTTATTTTTCCAGATTGAAGAGTTGTTGTTATAAATTAGGGCACACTGAATTGAATCTTTATTTTTTAAAAACAGGAAAAATTACTTTGTAGAATTATAAGCAAGTATTTGTCTACCGTCACTTTAAAAAATAATTCACCCTTGAATGCAGTGAAGAAAGCATGTAATAAAGAAAACCATTTTAAGATAATAAGTACAGGGTCCAGAGAAAGGATCAAGCCTTTTCTATAGACAGAGATTTCCTTGGTAACTTAAACGACCTTGACAGCCCCAGTTTGTAGAGGGCTTTTAACCACAGAGACAATAGCAGCTGCATAGCATTCTGGGAGCAGAGTGTGCCCACACTAGCCAGGGTAACCAGTTAGCATGTAGAGAGAAAATCTGAACCTGAGCCCAGGACAAGCAGCCTCCCCCATCCTGGTCAGTGATTTTAGGGGACTCTGGACTTCAAAATTAAGACTAGGTAGTTCTAAGCATAGAAGAGAGAAGGAGCAGGCAGAATGAGAAACCAGAACGAGTGATAGAATGTGGGATAGCACTGAGCCCTGGGAGCAAGGATAAGGACCCTTGGCAATAAATCATGCATTGCAGCTTGGTCTTGAGATGGAAGAGGAAGCAGACTTTGTGGATGCTAGCCTCCTGGGGAAGACAGGAATAATGACGTGGAGCCTCCCGTATCAGGAACACGACACAGGCAGTGCCCAGCTTCTCTCAGGGTGTGCTCAGGCCAGTGCCTCCCTGTGGCTCCTTTAAGCCCTGCTGATCTCTCCCTGTCCCCATGGTGGGTAATGCCTGGAGATACCTGGACCAGGACATATGCCCGAGAAAGTGATGAGGCAAGCTGTGCTCTTGGGGCAGCTGCTCCACGCAAGGACCTTCACTTTGTCTATCAGTGTTCCAGGCACCTCTGCATCTAACCAAACCCCTTCCCACCTCCCTCCCTGAGAAGAGTGCAGCAGCTGTCACTCTGAGAAGGAAATGCCTGGTGACAACTGCACAGTTTTGCATCAATCATTTGGAAGCAACTGAGTTTTTTATTCCGAAGACAGCCATGGGTTGTTTCTAAATAGATTCAGATAATTGAATTTAAAATAGCTGTGAGACTATATCATGCCTTCTTGTGCAACTTCTGACATATTGTGACTTTTATTCTTCACAAGTCATATGACCTTCAGATCCAATATTTTGGGAAGTGAGAAAATTGAGAGAAAAATAATTATTGCTCCGAAGAGAATCCTGAGCTATACTTGGCACACTTGAAATGTGCCCATCGCATTTTGGCTTTGCCCCAGCTTACCACATGGCTTCACTTGGGTACCTTCAGCAAGCCCCAATCTTGGTTAAAGCTGCTGCCCAACAACCATGTGGGGTGAATGGCTAGAAGTTGGGTGATACCTGCCCAGTTGCTTCTCCTCCCACAGTCTGCTCTGCTGGTTCCTCCAGTTTGCTGAGGCCTCAGACTGGACAAACCTGTGGATGCTGTCTATAAGGCTAGCAGGAGGAGAAGGGCTGGAGATACAGGGAAGGGGCACATAATATACTGACTACATTCCCCTTAATTGCTGACGGAAGGTTGACAGCTTTAACTCGGGTTCTGGAGATTCACACCTGGGTCCTCATACTTGCGTAACAAGCTCTTTTACCCACTGAGCCGTCTCCTTAGCCAGCCATTTATTTTCAAGTGCCTACTGTTTAATGCTTTACCATCTGCACGGAGACTAGAGAGATGTTCAGTGACTAAGAACATGTGCTGCTCTTGTAGAGGACGTAGCGTTGATTTCCAGCACCCAAATGGCAGCTCACAACCATCTGTGACTCAAGTTCCAAGGGCTCTGACACCCTCTTCCAGTCTCTGAAGGCACCAGGCACGCATGCAGTGCACTTATATACATGCAGGCAAAATGCTTGTACACACTGAAAAATAATATTAAAAATTTTAAACTAGTCTATTGTGAAGGATCGTATTAATAGAGATTTTTATTTAGTATATTCACTTGGAAACTGCATTCAGATAGAAACCTACCAAGGTAAAAGACACAGCATGAACACAAACTGGGCTATTTTTTTGGAAATTGACACACAGATATTCATTCACACAAGTTGGAGTTTTCTCTGTGCACGTGTATCGGAAGCCTGCAGTGTTTGGGAGGCCCTTGATCATTAAGCACTGAGGCTTGCAGCTGTTAGTGAGTGAAAGGATCTGGTGCTTCCATTTTCCCCTGTGACTAAAACGAGCTCAACCCAACTTCCTTTGCGATCTTATCCCAGAAGCTACATAAGCTGTGGCCACAAATCAGAATCTCGCTTGACCTGAGGCACAGTTGTTCTTTGCTCAGAAAGGTCTTGGGTTGCTGCCAGCCTCTCTTACTTTGTTTTGCCCTAAAAAAAGGCATTTCTCCTTGTAAAAATAAATGACATAGCAAAGTGTTTTAATTCTCAAACTTCCTTGTATTAGCACCAGTTTAATGATCTTTTACTTAGTAATTGTGAAGAACTAAAATTATGGCACTTATTTTAGTCACTAATGTATCAGATAGATTTAGTTTTTTACATTTTTTCATTTATTTTCATGGAGGGGGAGGGTGCACTTGTGCCACCATGCAGGCCAAAGGACAACCTGTAAGAGCCAATTCTTTCCTTCTGTCATGTGGGTCCTGGAAGTTGAGCTCAGGTCTTCAGGTTTGGCAGCTTCCCTGCTGAGCCATCTCACTGGCTCTGAGCAGATATATTTGGTCTAGTTACTCAGCTGGTGTGTGTGTGTGTGTGTGTGTGTGTGTGTGTGTGTGTGTGTGTGTAGAGAGAGAGAGAGAATCAATCTCTACCTAAATCCCTAAAAATACCTTAAAATGACTTTTAAATGATTTTTATATTA